ACTTATATTTTCTAAATATTCTATTATATTTATAACATAATTTGATTCATAATTTAATTATTGCGTACGTTGCTTTCTTCCCTGTCATTCAATGTGCATGTTCAAACCCCTAAACTTTTAATATTTCATTTTTCATAAATGGCTACGTTAGTGAGTTGCCTAGATCTCTCGTTACCTACTCACAAGAATATATTAAAATAATTTGTTTTACTATCATATTTCTGTTTATCTAATTCATACGAAATTGATAATTCATTTATCATAGTATAGATCATATTCGTGTATACCACTATCTGATGCTAAGGTTTTATTTCAGAAAATATAATTAATTCAAAATGTAGAAAGATACACAATTTGCCATTATTTGACTTTTAAACTGTACAAAGTATGATATAATGATGAGAATGCCTGTAACGGGTAGTATTTAAGAAAGAAATATTTGTCGAGAAGTCCCATTTTTCAGATATGCCCTTCAGTAGTATTATTGTATATCTCCAGAGAGAGGTTTACATTGTAGTTCTTATTATTTGTGGATAATTCAAAAAGCAACATAGAAAATACATATGCTACCATGACGAAAGAATACAGAGTATACATAACTCGCAATTCTATATATTCAGCAAACAGCCCAAAACCGAAACTCCACAACATATCCGATTACACTGATTAAGGCTGCCCCAGTTCTCCATGCGATACTGACGCCCGTTCGTCTCCCAGACCATACAGAATAAATTTAAAAGGAATCCAGCTCAAGTCTAGAACGATTTGGCAAGCCTAGATTGCCTTAATTCTATCCATGAAAGTAAGCATTAATAAAAAAATATTGTTCTTGTCTGCTTCAGATTATATTTTGTAGATACTTATTTTAACTAGGAAAATTGTACTGACACCGGCGCTGTCCCTATTGAAGCTATTTATAAGAATTTCGAATTGCCGTCCATTGTTCGATGTCAATACATCGATGACAAATGAGGATATCATAAAGTAATCGTTGATGCCGCGCTACACTTTGATAAAAATTATAATCAAGTTGACTGGTGTGTACATTACTACAGTGAACATGTACATGATCATGCCCTAATAATCAAATGCCGTAATGTCAAATACTAATTTATTATTGTGTGATGAATTTAACTGGATCAGTTGTAACATGTGATATTAATATTCCATCAATTTCTTTCCTGGTTGGTCCATCCATGTCTACAAAATGAAAACAATACAATTAAAATGGAGCATAGAACAATTCTTAATTTCAGGCTAGAGCTGTGGAAATCTAGACTTTCCCAATCATTATAGACTTGAGTTGGTCTCATGTTTTACTTTATTCTCTTGGGTCAACGCCACAGCTCATACCATACACTAACAAGACCAGTTTGACCCCCGCCGGAGCTCCCGGATTTTGGTTATATCATCTAACATGGCCAACTCTGCTCTTAAGTAAACAAGAACCTAATCAGCGAGGGGTCCTTTATCATCCCTATGTGGCTGCTTATAAAAATCTGATATCTTTTCCCAAAGACCTGGTTAATAATATATTTTCTGCTGAATATTCGAAACAAATAGAGTGAGTTGGTACTACAAGTACATATGTATACGGTTCTATTTTAAATGACTGCAGCGCTCCATTATGAAAACAATTTGTTTTAACGCCGCTCTCAGCAGTATTCCAGTGATATATGACGGCGGTCTGTTGTATATGAAATATATGCAAATTGAATCTTGAATCTTGAAATTTTCGCAAATAAGTATCACATGCAGTATACAGTATATCAACTGCAATATACTGTATACAACATTCAGTATGTCGTGTGTCGCGAGCTCTGCGCTGGGCTGGAGCACACACTTCCTACACCTCTCCCTTCGGCAAACACATCACGAGGGTTGCAACGAGGTCACAGGTCAGGCGTGCACTCGTCAGTTGTCTAATACGGTCAAGAGTAAGATCTTCCGGAAGACCACTGCACTGGAGGTATGTGGATTATTGAGGAGGTACTACGTGTTTGGAACTGGGAGTTGAACACTAAGCACTTTTAGAGAAGAGCTCACAATAAACCGTTATGGACTCGCGGACGGACTTGTGTTTTCATTTCAAGACGTACATTTATCAGGTTGAACTTCCCAACTGTAACAATAACTGAGCTTTACGCCTTTTATACACATTTGGGATGGGGCGACAATGCGACAACGAGACATATTTTGACCTTGAAAATGTCGCGATACGGCATCGTCGCCCTTTTGTAAAATAAAGAAAAGGATTATCAAAGAGCGACAGTGCGAACACGCGACAATGCGACAAATGGCCAATTGTCGAGCTTTTGTTAATTTTGACACGTTTTGCTTGTTTTTGTAAAGGCGTCAATGCGACAATGCGACAACGAGACAATGTCCCTTCCATAGTAATCCGTGCAAATAAAACTGAGTTATTAAATAGAAGTCTGACATGCCAGTTAAAAGATAGAGTGTTGCATAGATCTTCAAGAAGGGTTATCAATAATGGGGCGGGTGATGAGTTCAACTGCATACGCTGTGATTAACAATAAAGCTCCGAGTCAATACACATTTTGTCAAATGTATGACATGTATTACGTGAATGAAGATATTGTTTATACTCGTCCATGTTTTTGACGGACAAAATAATTTACATGCTCGGTAAAAGTGAGGACGGGCATCACTGTGTGTTTCCGTGTTTTGTTCAGGTGAACATTTGACTTGTCCTTGCATGTGTTTGTGACGGGTGCCACTTGTGTGGCAGGATACGCTCACCTTTTCCCGAACACCCATTGGATTACCTGAACCACTTCGGATTTTTATCCCACATCAGTCTGATACACCATGATATAACTGAAATACTGAAATACTGTACAGTTAAAAAAGATGGTTAATGCGATTACCGTAGTGTGTTACTGCAACTGTTCATATTTTGTGCAGTGATGTTATGTAATATGTAAAAGAAAGCATATTCAATTATCCAATTGATTTGAATAGAATATACTTGCGACAGTGTATTTTATTAACGCCCCAAATCGTAATTTAAACACATAAAATAACAGATCACGCATGGTGCCTTGACTTACTACTAGATTTAATGGGCCACCCCGGAATAAAATAGTTCCCCCAAAGCGAGGAACATATGTTTTAGTATGTTTACAAGAAATATATTCCAAACAATATCCTCATTAGATGAGAAGATCTTTTACAGAATTACCTCAGTAAGTCAATTACAATGACAGAGCGTTGTAATACATTTACATCAAGTACAATACGTCAAAATGGCCGACACGATAAAGGTGACGGGAGATATTTGGCATCACTGATCAATTGGCCGATCATTGAAAGGTGATTGTGAAGATGTGTCAAATAGATACTAAGGTAAATTCATAGATTTCTGTAAATTGTCACTGCGACAGTTTGGATTTTTTTCGTGTTTTTTCTCTCTGGGATGGGTTGTAGCGAGGGTATCCTTAAATTGGCTTGCAACCACGCTTCTGTATGAATTCGTACCAGGAAATTCCAAGGGTTTTCCCCAGGAATGTGGAAGTAGTCAGTGTTTGCGCCTTTTCAAGAATACAGTCACGTGAAGAACGTCATGTGACCGACCTCGCGTCCAAGTCGTATATCTTGTAAACTTCACATTAAAAAATTAGTTATTGTTATAACCAAATGAAACACAACCCATTATCCGATAGGGTAACTGTACATAGCCGTTACCACAATAAACTTAGTAACATTGTTTGGTTTGACTTCTTGGCGCGTGTCTGAATTCCATTAACATGTTACATATCCTAAAACTAGCTTATCAGCAAATCTCGCTGCACTGCGCGCGACAGATACTAGAGCAAGGCATGCCAGAAATACGAAACCTTAAGCTTCCGAAAGGAAGCCTTGGATATCACGTGCGTCGGGGGACCAGCGCCATCTGATTGGGCGTTAACAGTTGTACAAGGCGGAGCAAAAAGCATCGTTTTTCCGTCCATTTTACGCTTGAAAAACTCGACCCTTTTCTGGACACTTTCTAGACGCTGACCAATTAATCAATTTTAATGAATTTTTAGTCGTTTTTCCGTCCATGACCATATACGGAAAAAAACGACGTTTTCGTGTTTGCAGTGATGCTTTGTCATTGGCCGGTCTCTTGTCACGCGGATTCTCGGGATCATTCCACTACTTTTCAATTCCTTCTCTGTGAGGCTCAGAGCTTATCAATCAACCCTCGTAATTGTATATATATGTGTGTGTGTGAGTGTGTGTGTGTGTGTGTGTGTGTGTGTGAGTGTGTGTGTGTGAGTGAGTGAGTGAGTGAGTGAGTGTGTGTGTGTGTGTGTGTGTGTGTGTGTGTGTGTGTGTGTGTGTGTGTGTGTGTGTGTGTGTGTGTGTGTGTGTGTGTGTGTGTGTGTGTGTGTGTGTGATACTTACAATAGTAGCGGTAAAGGGGAGGGGTTGGGAAAAACAGTTCGGCGTGGTGACCATTGATAGATTGATTCGGAAGTATACCAAGCTATCACCTATTGTTAATCTTTACGACTGACAGTGTAAATTTGAACAATGTTTTATTGAACACTATTATATATTTAATACTAATATTATAGTATTAATAATATCCTAGGATAACAGCATTCTAGAGTCGAGAAGTGACCTTATCCTCCTATACGGGTCTTCTTTAAGCATTATTCTACCAATATTTTGGTGAGTTTCACTCATTTCATCGACCCATTTTTGCAGCGTGATGTGATAACGCTAAAGCCAACCTTCACCTATTCCATATAGAAAGGGTGACCATTGTGCAAAACACTGTGGCAATTTAATATAAAATGAACTACTATTTAAGGCAAGAAATGTAAGTCTATGTGTTGTAGCATATGGTTACAATTCGTAAAACTTAGTCTAAGTGATGGTTATGCTTTATCGAAAGATTTGAAATCTCCTCCAGTAATACGTTGTGTTCTTCCTTAACTAGACGCTAGCTTTTGACAATTTCGCAGACCCTCACCAGCATGACTCACCTCTTCCTCTTCCTCTTCCTTGTCCTCGTCCTCGTCCTCGTCCCGGGCCTCGTCGCAGCTGCACCTCGTGTCTCCCCATAGTTGATGGTACTGACTAAGATCTGAGTCCACACCAGGATAGCTGTTGTCCCACTTATGTGTATGTCTGGTGTAATAATATCGCCACTGTCACAGTTGTAAATGTATCCAATGAAGCCACACTGATTGTCTGTTCAGTATGGATCACGTCAGGCTGATAACATTCCCTGAAACACAACGCTCTCGAATCCCAGTATCGTTCAGTATAGGACGGCGATAACTGTTGAGAGGTCATCTACGTACGCTGTTTATGTACACTTGTTTATTTATAGAGTTTTCGTGTCACAGATATCTATTCAAATATAGAGAATAGCATGACGCCACAGCCGCGCTGTGCAGCTTTCGTGTATTGAAAAGTCTTACCTCACTCTGCGGACGTGCGCTGAATAGCTTTGTGTCGTTAGACCTGAATAGCCACAAGGTTTAACACACAAGCTCGACAGATCCCAGGTGGTAGCATATTACTGTTCCAGGAAGAGGTTTTAGTCAATGTCTTTCCGTGAAAATCTTTTTAAGTACTACCACAAAACCGAAACCGAATGTAGGACATTTGTCAACATGACATCGTTGAGTTGTCTCCCTTAGGATTTTATCGAAAAAGATAAATTGACTCCAAACATTTTTGAAAAAAATAATTATGCTATATATTGTTGAAAGAATTATTGTCTGCCCCAAACAAATACATTGTTGCATTGGGTTTTTAAGAAAAAAATATTTTGGTCCATAGTTTTAATTGCAGCTGAAGCTAAAGAAATAACTGGTCTCGATACAAAATCCCAGCTCACCACCTGAATGAAATTATGTATACACTCAGCAGATGCATTAACACTAGCATACAAGTATTTAATATGCTAAAATACTATCTATGCGAGGATGTTTAACATTTCAACCAAGAATATACAACACTATCCGCAAAATAGTATTTGAACATGGTTGCCAGACATGCCGTTCAGGACCGCCTCCGTGGTCTTGTGGTAGAGCGTCCGCCCGGAGAGCGGAAGGTCCAGGGTTCGATCCCGGGCCGCGTCATACAAAAAGACGTTAAAAGATTGTACTTGTTGTTACCCTGTCTGGCGCTCGGCATTAAGGGGCTAAGCCAAGGACTGGTTGGCTCGGAGTCAGTATACTGTGTCTGAGTGGGGTATTCATGTTAAACTGCGGCATGGTATCTCAGTGAGCTAGCACTATAAATCGGCATCAGTCCGGACTAGTACAAGCAGCCACACACACACGCGACGTTAAACCCAATTTCACCTCATGATCACACACACACACACACACACACACACACATACACGTGCATGCACGTCGCTATATAAGTGCAATAATCTTGGACCCGACGTTAAACCCAATTTCACCTCACCTCACCTCACATGCCGTTCAGCTTCTAACAAGGAATATTTAACCTTTAGTGAGTCCGTGATTGTGGCTAACGCCGATATACACTGTATTTCAGTTACGTCACTTTTGTGTTTATTGTGGGAAGAGGGGCGGTCGGGTGGTTAAAGCGTTCGTTTGTCACACCGAAAGCCCGGGTTCGATTCCCCACAAGGTTACAATGTGAGGCCAGCGATATTGCTAGATTATTACCAAACGCGGCGTAAAACCATACTCACTTACTAACTATGGAGGATGGGTGTAGGTTTTAGGTGTTTATCATTTTCAGGAAGCCAAAGAACACGTGTATGAAAGAAAGACAATAAGTACAAATCACGGATTCGAACACAGGCTCTCTGCACGCCTTAGTGACGCAAATCTGCACAGCGAAAGCTGCGCCTTATAAAAAAAATACTATCCATCCGTGCCCCCTTGATGCTGAGATGGTTCTCGGAGTTACTCAACTCCTAGCTTGAACGTATGACTGAGTATCAACAGAATCGAATTTTACAAAGTTTTATTACCAGCAATCATCCACTGCGGTATACGTAATTGGTTATTAATCGGACTAGTCTTGTCGTAGGAGGCGACTAACGGGATCGGGTGGTCAGGCTTGCTGACTTGGTTGATGCATGTCATCGGGTCCTAATTGCTCATGCACTGTCCTTCGTTGACAGCTTTTTATTCAGTTTAAATATATGTATCATAAATGTAGCATAAATGTATCATAAATGTAACTTCTCGTCACGATATGTCTGAAATATTGCCCATGTGACGTTTAATAATAACTCACTCACTAACTCACTCACCTAATTGCTCATGATGTCATTCACTGGGTTGTCGGGTCCAGACTCAATTATTATTTACAGACCGCCGTCATATAGCTTGACTATTGCTGAGTGCGGCGCTATACAACAAACAAACAAACACATGGAGACCATGTAAACATTTTCGCTTACAGCGTTTGCCTTCTGGGTATTACGTTGAGTACAAAGTACATGTACCATGCTACGTGCATGATTGTCTGCTGTATATCTGCTTTCCTGCCGTTGTGAGGGTGTTTTTTAGGCGTTATCAGTAACCATTGATTGTCAACAGAGCGCAGATACTCATATGAGGATCAATACATTGTGTTGGGAGGGCGAGTTACCCTGTATTGGATCGCTGCATATGATCATACAGCGGTCGTCGTATAGCCCAGTGGGTTTAACCGTTACCTCGTCACGCCAAAGGTTCATGTTCGATTTCATAAAATGGTAAAATGCGTAAAGTGCATGACTGGTGTCCGCTGTGATAGGGCTGGATTATTGCTGAATACGTTGAAAACTCTACTCACCCACTCATGCATAATCATATATCACCAACACAGCAAATTATGTGGTGTTATGATCAAAATTGTTTTTTGTATGAACATTTTCCATGCAAAGAGAACTATGCGAAATGGTGAGCTCAAAATCCTTACATCCTTATTTGAAGGGGTCTGTAAATAACCGAGTCCAGACAAATTGTGAGCAACGTCCGAGGCCGTCGTAGTACGACGACGCGCAATCAACTATGTCACGTACATGTATGTCACGGAGCTTCATCGCCTGATCACCCGTGAATGTCCGGGGTAGAAAAGGTCTTCATGATCAGCAACCCATGCTTGAAGTAAAAGGCAACTATGCTTGTCGTAACAGGCGACTAACGGGATCGGGTGATCAGGCTCGCTGACTTGGTTGATGCATGTCATCGATCCCAATTGCGTGGATCGAGGCTCATGGTATTAATCACTGGATTGTCTGGTCCAGACTCGATTATTTACAGACCGCCGTCATATAGCTGGAATATTGCTGAGTGCGGCGTTACACAACAAACCAACCAACCAACTAACCATCGCATGATCACTTTAGTCGCATATGGGGGCACGGGCGGCCCAGTCGTCTAAGGCGCCGCGATTCGATGTATAGAGTTGCGTCCCTTGGGCACGCCAGAAACCTATGATTGTAGGTTCGAATCCCCTATTATGTTTCTAGGATTGTCAGCACCATACCCGTGCTCGTGGGTTTCACCGAAGTGGTAAACGTCTGAGACCTGCATCACTTCGGACTTCGGGCTCCTAATGTTGGAGGATAGCCCAAAGTGATGCAGGTCTCAGACGTTTACCACTTCGGTGAAACCCACGAGCATGGGTACGGTGCTGACAAACCTAGAAACATAATCGGGGATACCTGGATTCGAACCCGCAAACACAGGCTTCTAGCGTGTCCAAGGGACGCAACTTAGTCGCCTTAGACGACTGGATCACCCTTTTGAACCTCTCTGAAACACCCGATTCTCATGGTAATCCGATTAAGTGACAGATAGTGGAATTGGGGGCATATTATACCGCCAAATATCTCCGGGGAATAGACAATAAGAAATAGTTCGTGGCATAATTATATTTATTATTATTATTATTATTATTATTATTATTATTATTATTACACAGAAAATTACAACAAGGAGATACACATCCCCTGAGAATATTCGTTGTTTGCATCAACACGTGTGAAGAGCAACTTCCAAATGGGTGTGAGCATCCTCACACAGAACAGGTTGTCAATGCTAATAAATGTGAGGTGAAGGTATCAGGAGTAGTCTCCCTTGGACTATACCCAAGCAGAGGTTTTACAACCCATCATGAAACAGCATGAGCTTAGTTTTGTGAGTATCTATAATGCAGACCCGACGGATGTGGTGATATTAGGACTTGAGGTCATGACCAGACTAATTTGAATGCCAAGAACCGCAACTCTACACAAAATGTATTTCAAACATAATAAGGGTTCAAATACACAGACCCGTGAAGATCCGGGGTAGAATAGGTCTTCAGCAACCAATGCTTGCCGTAAAAGGTGACTATGCTTGTCGTAAAAGGCGACTAACGGGATCGGGTGGTCAGGCTCGCTGACTTGGTTGATGCATGTCATCGATCCCAATTGCGTGGATTGTTGCTCGTGATGTCAATCACTGGATTGTCTGGTCCAGACTCGATTATTTACAGATCGCCGTCATATAGCTGGAATATTGCTGAGTGCGGCGTTAAACAACCAACCAACCAACCAATCAAATACACAACATAAATCGCAATGTTGAAACCTTTCACTGTCGGTCATCCATATGCATGTGCAGCTGTTTTACATTGTCGTGACAATCTGGCATTTGTCTATATGCATACAAAGTTATAAAGGGCTACTTTTGCAGATATTATTTACATTTCCAACTTTTTCCGACTCACCTTCGTACAGGCACACGCATGCACGCTCGCTCGCTCGCACGCACGCACGCACGCACGCACGCACGCACGCACGGTATCCAAATAAACACCGTTCGCATGAGAAGTGTTTTGCATTAATCACAATTCTTGAAGACCAGAAATGACAATATGTTGTTTACAAAGCTTTTTGTGATCAATATTCATCATCATATCTGTCAACCACCAATGTTAGGATTTGACAGGAGGGGATTTGAAAGTCAGAACATGGTGAAATCCATTGCCGGATACGCACAATTAACCAAAACATACACGAACCACTATGTCAGCGCCACAGCTGTCACATCTCTTTCACATGCTGGCGTCGAATGCCTTAATACTGACAGGTCGCAATTGTACTGATTTGTATTACTTTGTTCATCAATATGCATGATGTAAAAGCAACTTGGGTCGATGAAACAAAAATCATTTAAACTGAGGGTGAAAGGAAGTAAATTTATACCGATTTTGTTATTTATGCATTTGAAAATTGAAAGAACTGTAGTTAAATTTAAATTGTTTCTATTCACCCATCACTTATTCCTGCAATAGTTTTTGAAAAGTAATCTGTGGTTGGGTTAATTAACATTAATTGGTTCAATGAAGACTAGGGTGAGAAATAAAATTTGCAACCATGTTTGAAATGTTGTAATTTGTGCCGAAAAATAGCGAAATCAATTTATTTTCTTAAGATAAGTTACCTGAA